AGGAAAAGTGAAAAAAATACTTCTATCACCAGCATAAATGCGTAATTATTTTTTTTACAGAAAAAGTAATTTTTCACTTTGATGAGTAACGCGTCGTAGAATGCAGATACCGGCATGCAAAATACACTTGTGAAAAGCTTGAAATCTGGCGATTCTAAAAATATATACTTTACCGAGTCTATTTGTAGTCATTTAGTCACAATTAGAAGATGAAAACAAGTATGCAAATAATAGTCCCGCTACCTTAAGTCGGTTAACAGATACGCAAAAACAAATTCATGAGACTAAAGTCACTTGCTTGAAATGTCTAGGATACACAATTACATTAGACCCGGGGACTGTCGACAGTTTAAAATAACACTGGAACTAAAGGGAAACTAAAACGTATGCAGTAACCATGTACGTACGCCCATGCATTAATTAATCACCTGGGCAAACCAATTTTGCGAATATATGACTGTTTACCCCGTTGTTATACATTCATTATGGTAACTGTTTGATTTTAGAAACTAGAAAAACTTGTCTTTAAATGCCGTTCGTTATATAATAAAATCTAGTGGGACTGTGATGGACTGAGGGTCGAAACACAAACAGACCCGCTGTTGAGTCTGTGATCATCAAGTTGTAAACGCGGTGGGACTGAAAAATAATGGCACAAAATAGGACTTCTGTCAGGGTAACCAAACCGCTGGGAAAAATTCTAGATGTTTCGTGAACTGGTCCATGTTAGTCAGGAAAATAAGGGAGTGTTCAGAACTCGGCCACAAAAAAAAAAACCAAAAAAAAAAAAAAAAATGGTATCACTCGTGTCATTGACCAATCAGAGAGCAGTTTGTTTGTTGACAGCTGTTTTCGGCGTATGTAATTCTGCCTTGCATATATGCTCTGACTCAACTTGGAAATTGTAGTTTGTTTTGTTTATAGCTTACGGTTTATATACTAAGGACAAACATACTTCCACAGCTGTTACTTTTTAGTCAGTAGCATGGTTTCCTTATTTGGCTAGATAGATTAAACCACATGGGATAGAGGGACTGAGATCACTGGACTGAGATTAAACATTACAATATTCGCAAATTAGTCATACCATATGTAGGGAGCGACAAGTTTTCATTTTTTTTTCATTTCGTCAGAATTTAATGGAGCCGCAGGTTAAAACTGGTCACTGAAGTTGCGCCTGTAATAAGGCCTGCCTACCCAACGTAACTGGAAATACAACATATTCAGTTTCGGGAGTGTATGCAAAATCATTTGTGAATTGACCCGGGTGATCGACATGTGTTAGTATGCCCTCACCTACGGATTTTCTCGAACGCAAACTATTCCGTCGGAGAGGGCGTGGTAACTTTCACAGTCTTCACACTACTACTGGTATATTAGAAACATTTCTGGTCGGAGATCAGTAACGGAAACCAGAGTAAATTTAAATACTAAAAGCTGTGTTTGAAATATTTTTCTTCTATGTGTGATTAAAATGTGGTCCAACTATACACGATCCCGTATAGTCCGGCGTTGCACCGAGGGTGACAACAGCTGATCCGATACAGGATTGTAGCGAAGTCCACAAATCCGCGCCGTAAGTGGATTCATTTATGGTGTTTAATGAACTGTACCGTGTTATCATTTCCATAAATACAAGGTGTTATGTTAATCAGTGTATTATTTCATCTGAAGTTGAGTTTGAAGCCCGGGGTTACATCCAAATTGTAACACATCGGGCTCAAATCAGGATATTATTAATACGGGATATTTTGTTGCTCATTTCTTGACCTTCAAATGAGGATATTGTATTCTTACCTGTTCCCTATACTTATCGTTGTGCGTATCCGTACGTTCAATTTCATTAAAACTATGCACTATTGCATTTGTTCTTATTTTTGTTTATTAACATATATTTGTTCATTTTTTTAAGTTTTTCATATATCATATCTAGTTAAGGTGACCGAGATATGGCATATACAAAATATGATGATAACTAACAAATAAAACATGGCAATTAAATTTAAAAATAAAATAAAATGGAGCATATACCTACACCAAACTGTTGTATGTTGTGACTTTAACTTTATTTTTGTATTGAGGCAATAAAAATAATCCTGAGTTTTCGGTTCTGGTTGGGTCACGGTTTTATTATCTGTACTCGGTGCCACTGTCCTTACTAAGTGTCTGGGTCGGTACTTAAAAAAAAGACGACCCGTACTTTTCACCCGTACTTAGTAGACATTCAGGTACGCTTATAAATTACAAAACGAGTACTTGCACTGCACTGTACCACTGAACGCAATCCACACATCGCGGATATAAACGACGTAATCTCACTTTTTTAGTCGAAAAATGAAAACTGTTTGTAACTTGTATACTATGAAAGAGGAATACCGTTTGCGAGTGTATTGAAAGCACTCAGTACTCGTACTACTAAGTAAAAAAAAATTGCATAGCGTCCGTTTTACTTGCAGTGAGAAGTAAGAGTGACCAATCAGAAATCATCTCACTAATGACGTTGCAACATGGCGGCAGACATGGACACAAAAGCGGTACGATTAGTGTCGCTTGTCGAGATTGGAACTGAATTTGAGCGAAATTTGTCACCTGCCTCCACCAGAAAGAATTCTGTCGACAAAAAACCGCTGGGACGATTTCATGTGGAGTTCGTCAGCGAGAAACCAGGAGACAAACCGCTTGCAAAGTTGGCCAAATCATTGCCCCGAACATCGAAAACGTCCGTTTCGGAAAGTGATGACGACTATCCCGGCTCGCCGAGAACGCCGGCTTCGCCGCGAAACTGGAATCTGGAAGATTCGATTCACATGAGGACATTTGGACATAATACTCATGAAGCAGTACCAAGTTTAAGTCATTATAGAAATATTTTTTCAACGTCAGCAGCAGACGGTGTGAAAAGCCGGCCCACACTGCAAGAACTACACGAAGAGAAACAGGTAAGGGTACTATATCTACACTGGGGTATTACAACTAGGGGACAGAGATACAGAAGGGAGACTGTTATTCAATATTATTCACCGTGTTTACAATTACAACAGAACTCATTGTTTCACTGGAAAATCGGTGAACTTAAAATCCAGTGATGAAAACATCAAAATAGTTTACAGTAAAATACCAGTGAAGATCAATGCTCTTACTGTATAATATTCATTCAAACACAGTTTGTGTTACAGGTATTCTGGTTCAAAATACTATATGCAACAACTTTTTGGCATCTATACCTATTTTCATGGTAGACAATACAACCATTGTGCCATTGAATCAGATTCTTGTTTCATCCATGGTACCAAATTTACAAAAATATGACAAAGAATTTGTTGTTTTCAGTACAGGTAATATAATAGTACTTTGTAGTATGGTATCAATCAGGGCATTGTTCACATTTTATTTGCTAACTTCTCGTATCCTTGAGTTGTGGTGAGGACATGTACCATTAGTTCGCCTCTTATCTTAGGGTGTGACATATCCATGATTTGTTTATGCTTGGCAAAGTTATCCCTTTCGGTGAATAATATCATTGGTTTAAATGATATCACTGGGGTTGAATTGCATCACTGCAGTTGAATGATACCACTGGGGTTGAATGATATCATTGGGGTTGAATGATATCACTGGGATTGGATGGTATCACTGGGGTTAGATATCACTGGGATTGAATGATATCACTGGGTTAAATGATATCACTCAGGTTGAATGATATCCCTGGGATTGAATGATATCACTGGGGTTGAATAATAACACTGAGGTTGAATGATATCACTGGGTTAAATGATATCACTGGGGTTGAATAATATCACTGAGGTTGAATTCTATCACTGGGTTAAATGATATCATTGAGGTTGAATGATTTCCCTGGGATTGAATGATATCACTGCGGTTGAATAATGTCACTGAGTTTGATTGATATCATTGGGGTTGAATGATGTAACTAGGGTTGGGTGTTATCTCTGAGTTGAATGCTATCCCTGGGGTTGAATGATGTCATTGGGGTGGGATAATGTCACTTGGGATGAATAATGTCACTGAGGTTGAATGATATCACTGAGGTTGAATGATATCACTGAGGTTGAATGATATCACTGAGGTTGAATGATATCACTGACTGAGGTTGAATAATATCACTGACTGAGGTTGAATAATATCACTGAGGTTGAATGATATCACTGAGGTTGAATGATATCACTGACTGAGGTTGAATAATATCACTGACTGAGGTTGAATAATATCACTGACTGAGGTTGAATAATATCACTGAGGTTGAATGATATCACTGAGGTTGAATGATATCACTGAGGTTGAATGATGTCATTGAGGTTGAATGATGTCACTGAGGTTGAATGATATCACTGAGGTTGAATGATATCACTGAGGTTGAATGATATCACTGAGGTTGAATGATATCACTGAGGTTGAATGATATCACTGACTGAGGTTGAATAATATCACTGACTGAGGTTGAATAATATCACTGAGGTTGAATGATATCACTGAGGTTGAATGATATCACTGAGGTTGAATGATATTACTGAGGTTGAATGATGTCATTGAGGTTGAATGATGTCACTGAGGTTGAATGATATCACTGAGGTTGAATGATATCACTGAGGTTGAATGATATCACTGACTGAGGTTGAATGATATCACTGACTGAGGTTGAATAATATCACTGACTGAGGTTGAATAATATCACTGAGGTTGAATGATGTCACTGAGGTTGAATGATGTCACTGAGGTTGAATGATGTCACTGAGGTTGAATGATGTCACTGAGGTTGAATAATGTCATTAGGATAGCATAATATCAGTGGGGTTGAATGCTGTTAGTGTACTGGTATTGAATGATATCACTGAGGTTGAATGATGTCACTGAGGTTGAATGATGTCACTGAGGTTGAATGATGTCACTGAGGTTGAATGATGTCACTGAGGTTGAATGATGTCACTGAGGTTGAATGATGTCACTGAGGTTGAATGATATCACTGAGGTTGAATGATGTCACTGAGGTTGAATGATGTCACTGAGATTGAATGATGTCACTGAGGTTGAATGCTATCACTGGGGTTGAATAATGTCATTAGGATAGCATAATATCAGTGGGGTTGAATGCTGTACTGGTATTGAATGATATCACTGGGGTTGAATGATGTCACTGAGGTTAAATGATGTCACAGGGGTTGAATAATATCCCCGGGGTTGAATAATGTCACTGGGGTTGGGTGTTATCTCTGGGTTGAATGATGTCATTGGGGTGGGATAATGTCACTTGGGATGAATAATGTCACTGGGGTTGAATGATATCACTAGTGTTTTCCACTTTTTTTATCCCTTAAGATAGACTAACAAATATATATCTATGATTGTTTGTTGCTAAGCAACTTCCTTTAACAACAGCATGCATTAATAATTGTAATAGGAGAAAGCTAAGTTGTCTATTGAACTGTTGACACCAGCTGTGATCATTAATGTCTGTAATTTTATCATTTTGAATGCCAAATAGAACTCACAAAATGAATAATTCTGAACATACCATTTAAAAAGTATTCAATATTGTATTCATGGGATTCAAAATTAGCCAATTGTAGACAAATATTGATAAATGTGTAAGATGTATACAAATATAGTATTCATATTTCAGTGTGAAACAAATTTTTTTTAAATGAATGCAAAATGGTATCATTTAATTGAGCAATTCAATTAGAATACTGAACCCAATTTATGATACTGAACTGGTGAGATATAAATTAGTTATGGATACATTTTTATTAGGTTATGATAGGCAGTTTACTTTCGCATTAACTGAGAGAACTGATTCTAAATCCATGATTAATACAAGATCACATCATATTACACAATTGATTTAATTAAAATGGAATGAAATTTGTTTTTGAGTATACTAGGCCCAGACCAACACAAGTACATTCAGATATACATGTACGTACAATGACTTTGGCTCTTCATTAATTAAACCTGTGGCACACTCACCTATGTAGGATTAGAACTCATCACCCATGGCACAATTACAACACTACACGTGACAGTCAATTATTATTTGTTTCTAGACCTTGGAATACATTTTGTGAAATGTTGGTCATGGTTATTGCAAAGTTCATAGTTATTCATTGTTTCCAGTCTTCTATTGTCTTTTATTTCACCTACTGCCAAAATCAAAGTGATTAAATTTGTCTTGTTTTAGGAACCTAATGGATTAGCATTGAAAGATGGAGTCACCATTCCTGAGACAGATTTACAGACACCCCAGGTTGTATCATCACCGCTTAGGTTTGGGTGGATAAAAGGAGTTTTAGTGAGTACTTTTTCTTGAAAGTCCTTTTTTATGTGCTGTTAAGAAATTCTATATTGTCATACATGCACATGCGCATATTAAATAATTACTAAATGACAGACTGATATTCAAAATTTGTGTTTTAAATTGAGACAAGATGCCTGAAATCTAAAAAATGGTGGAAACATTTTTTAAAATTTAATTTTGAATTTTCACTCACATTCCCCATTTCATACAAATACAAGCTTTTAAAACTGTCTCTTAAGATGATGTTTTTATTATGAAAAAGTTTTTAAAGTTGTAAGTCATAGATTTTTCTTTTTAATGTTTGTAGGTACGATGTCTTCTGAATATATGGGGTGTTATGTTGTTTTTACGTTTGTCCTGGGTTGTGGGACAGGCTGGAATTGGTAAGTTCATATGGTATGGTTGAAATATGCTGCGAGAAAAAGTCTCTTTCATTTTTGTACATATTTATAGAAATATCAATACAAGTTTTATCCTGGATATTGATGTTCAGCATGCCAGCCTTCTATGGAAAGCATTTATTATCTATGTTTAATGATAGCCACCACATGCAGTACAGTTTAGGTGATAGTATACTGCTGTCTTACGGGAAAATAAATATATATGTGTTCTAACAACTTGGCTGCCTCACTTTCTGAGATGCCTTCAAGTCATGTGAAAATAGTACTACAGTGTACACCATAAATAATCCATCTATTATTTGAACCACCTAATTTTTGTAAAAAATAATTTGTTGTTCTCCTCTAGCAATTCAACCACTTAGTAAATTTGGATACTTGGCATGTTTACTTGTAGATAAGAAACAAAGCTAATTACACCTATGAGTTTTTCTTATATTTCTGTTTTTTATTTCCATTTTCGCACATTCTGTTCGAAGAAATATGTTCCCGGGACAATGCACAGACCTGATTAGTTTTGGATTGAAATTCAAGCATACTAATAACTTAATTTGCATAATATATAATATTTTATTGAAATTTTTACATAGATGCTCTCGGGTAATTCACAGAGGTGATTAGTTTAATGTTGAAAACCATGCATATTGATCATCAAATTATTATTAGCCAATTTCTGATATTTCAGTATTATAAACTTCAGTACAGTGGATCACATTGTTTTTATGTTGTGCATCTCAAATAACAGACAAATCTTGTTTGAAAGTCTAATATTTAATATGCCTCCAATATTCTAAGCACACAGAAATTTTTTCTATGCCTTCTTTGATTAAATATGTATTTAATTATTTAGTTTTCATATTTTGTTCTCACTTTAATTCTTTGTTTGCTAATCTTTTTTTTTAAAGTAATGTATGTAATAAAAAAACAAAGTAAAATATACACATTTAAAAAAATACACTTATCAAATCTTACATCACTACGAACACCAGATTCTAATCCGACTATGTAATAATAGAACTGCATGTCATGTGACACGTCACACACATACACAGAAATAAATGATAAAGTTATTAAATGAACATTATTTGCAATTTCTATTTCAATGAAAGTAGCTGCACTATACATTTGTTTTATCATGTGTCTAGTTCTGAATTGTCTAGCCAAAGCAATACAGAACAAAATAACCTTAAAGTCCCCAACTTGGCAATTATCTAAGGCACTAGACTTCCTGGTGACTGTGATAAATGCGTACATTCCAATCTCTGTCAATAGAACTCACACTAAGCATGTATTTAATTAATACCCATAATGTATTTTTAATATTTTCAATGATATATTTTAATATTTTGTTCTCCTGAAAGTGTTGAATATTTTATGTCATTTCCTGCTGTAAATTTCTGTGACCTATACATTTAGTGCATACTGTAAAATACTTTATTTTAGCTGGAATTCATTTTTGATGAAAATATATTTTTGGGTGTTTTGTATGGAATTTATTTTCACTGATTTTTGTTTTGACGAGTTGAATGTAAAATATAGGAAAAAAAGTTATATTTGCTGGAATTTATTTTCACTGAATTATTTCTTTAGCGAGAAGAGCGAGAATTAATTCCAAGTGAAAATAAAGTGTTTTACAGTAATACATCAGTGCAGACATTTAATATAATGACTGTTATTCTTGGCCTAATGGCTGTAATCTCACCAACATGAGCAGTACAGTATATCTAATTAAAACACAAAGCAATAACTTGCTGAACTGTCTGGTTGATGAAGGGTAATGTGCACTTTAGGCAAACATTTGCTTTAATATTACGTATGTATACAGAGTTTAATTCTGACATGTGTGCCCACAGTTAGACATCAATTAGACAGCAAATAATCATGCACACAATATATGTTCAAAGCTATCAATTTTAGGGATGTCATTGTTTCTGGTTGCAACACTCAGGACATTTGGCTGTTTAAATCGTTCTGCTATTCGGAACCTCACATTTTGTTTGCCCTTTAATAATAAGATTAGTATTTATCTTTTTTTAATCTCGAAGGAGGAGATGTAGACATGCTCTCGTTGGTTGTGGGTACATATATGTCTAGACACTCTTGCTCATACAAGTGGGATGTGTACATTGAATAGTTTTTTTTTTTAAATGTATTTTGTACATGAACTGAACAATGTGTTTCTTCGACAGAGAAATATTGCTTTCGAATACTCTGACCTCATCGAAATTGTCTATTATCAAATGTGTACAGGACATTATTAAGCATGGAAATATTCTCCAAAATACTTTCGGGTTTGTCGAATCCCACGCGATGTTTGACGCCACTACGATGCTATGACCTTTGTTTGTCCTGTTTTTACGTTCGATTTCATGCATAACGCGTGATTCTCGCAGTGAACTGAAAATGGTCTATTCATGGCAAATTTAGAAAACAGACACAACAAATAGAAGTTACTTTCAATGTGATGCAAATGTTGCTGATGCAAGAACTAAAAATCGACCTCACTCTGATGAAGGAATGTAGGAAATCAAAAACAATTCTCTATCATCATTTTAATTAATTAACAATTGTCTAAATTTAGTTAATCTGCAAAATAATATTGATAATTGTTGTTTATTGTTTTGTTTATAATTTGGTATTCATAAAAATGTAATGGTTTGTATATAGATTGTTTTTGGGGAAAATACTTCAAGTACCATTAGTATACATGTCAAATAGTAAAGCTAAGAATAATTTCAGTTCCACATTGTAGAACATCAACAAATAAATGCACCAAAAATGCAATACCAATACATTACTTTAACATCAACTTTAAAATAAGAATGTCCATGATAAGTGTCTGCATCATAACTTAAGACTAGCTCACCTGCAAAGTACTGTATGAATTTTTGCTGCTAGTAATTTTCACATTTTTAGGATTTTAGGACATTCGTGAAGGCACAAATGTCACTGACACATTGTGTCTCAGAACCCCATAGGAACGTTCACTGCTAAAACATTTCATGAAATTCACAAATATTTATTTTGCCAAATAAGTGATTTACAGTACTACATGTATGTTAAAACTGTGGAAAAGGGAAAAAAATTGTGAAGTGGCATTGATGATCAAAAGCACAATTCATCTTTGATTCATCACCAGCTTTTTCAGTTTGTTTAAATACCCTCTCTCCTAAATATAATATAATAAGGCTGCATAATCTCTAGGCAGTGTGTCCCTTGTAATCAATGACCACAAGCATACCCGTAATAATAATAATAATAATAATAATAATAATAATAATAATAATAATAATAATAATAAATTTATTGCATCCTTAGTTTTTATTGGTTGACAAGTAATAAAAAAATGTTATGTTTGTTACACATGATACAAATGTTTGCATACTGGACATTTCACACTAACATGATTGTAATAATTGTTGTCCCCTGATAATTATTACAAATCATTCATTTCATCACATTTTCTTTTTACAGTTTTATCTGTTCTAATTATTCTGTTATCTGCTGTTGTCACCGTGTTAACTACGCTGTCCATGTCTGCCATATGTACTAATGGAGAAGTCAAAGGAGGTAAACCACTAATACTATTTTGTCTTTTTAGCTAATATGTATTTTTGCTAATTCAGCAAAAAAATTCTGGTATCGATACTTTTACTAAATTGAGATGCTGCTAATTAGTGCAAAACTGCTAAAATGGTGTAGCTATTTCAAGTGTTTTTCAGTGAATCATGTGTGTGGGTTGGTGATTTCATTACTATTGCTTAGTGTAAAAAAAAGATAGTGAATTTTTGAAATGTTGAGATGATAAGGCCAGACTTTTTTTATTCCTTGTTTCTTGAGTTTTTATAAGGCAATTTTTTTGAGGAGGGCGGGAAAAAAATGAAATTAATTCTTTTTTTCCATTAGATTTGTGTGATTCTCAAAGGATTGTAAGTGAGATCATTGATCGGAGAGAAGAAATTAAATAACATTTTATTCCATGTATAATCTTGTTTCTCATCTGCGCGAGACTTCGGTACTTTGATCATGATACTCCCACGAAAATGCAACTTGGGTTTGTTATGCGGCGGGCGTAAAAATAATGAAGATAAAAATAATTTTTTTTTGCAATTGTTTGCACTTACAAGTCGGCGAGCGCGAGAAATTACGCTGAAATAAAGTTTAATTTTTATTTCATTTTCGGCTTCTGTTCATTCGGCGGGTTCGCGAAACAAGGGATAATAAAAATCTGGCCTAATCTTATAGTCTTGTAAGAGATAACTGAAATGTAGTTGTCTCCTTCGCAATAAATAAATTAAAAAATGTCTTTCAGGTCAACAAATATTATAATTAGTAACTCGTATCTAGATTGACATAACATTATTGACATGTACATTTACCCTAGTGTGAATTTTATCTATCTTTAGTATCCATAAACAGATGTTATGAATTTATTCATCAAAAATTTATATTAAAATTAAATCAACCGTGTCATAAATAGACTGTACTGTATTGCTGCACTGTCCCACTTTGTCACTAACATATTTTAAATGTACTTTTTCCTGACATTTATCTATTGATGGTTAGTGTTATCTGATTGAATAGTTTCTACAAGACACAATGTTGTGAATTCCATTTTCATCTAGGGGAGACAAGGTCATGAGGGAGCAACCTCGTAAATGTTGTTTGATGACAGTGAAATCTCATCCATACAGTGTATGAATCCTCAATTCATCAAATTGTTCACAGTATTTAAATATGTGGAAGCAGTAATTAATGACAACTAATTAATTAATTTTAAACCGATAGAAAAGTAATGCAAGAAAATAAAAATCTTCCAAAAAAAAAAAGCGAAACAAAACACAAAATTCCCTTCTAATTAGATATAAAAAAAATTCGCTTGCGAAAAAAAAAAAGTACATGTGTATGACAAAACATAAACAGTTGCATATAAATATTAATAAAAGTTAGCCACTCGGTGGTGTGCAGAAACAGGAGTCTTATCAAGTTTTTGACTCCCATGTGCGAAGCACAAAATGGGAGTCTTTGCAGTTAGTGTGTCTGTGTGTGTGTGTGTGTGTGTGTGTGTGTGTGTGTGTGTGTGTGTGTGTGTGTGTGTGTGTGTGTGTGTATGTATGTGTGTCCGTGTGTCCGACTGTTCCACTGCTATTTCAAGAACCATACATCGGTTTTTGATGAAACTTGGTGCATAGATGCTCTGGGCCAATGCGCAGATTTGATCAGGTTTTGGTAAAAATCCATGCTCGTTAATTACCTAATTTGCATGATAATTACTGTAAAGGGGGTAATTATTCACTGGGTTTTAATTTAGCTTATTTCGCTGACTGGAAAATGCGCTCAATTAAAACCCAGTGAATATGTAAAATTTAGCATAGAACACATAATCTAAATGACGAAACCGTGAATTTAAAACCCACTGAATATGCCTGAAATGGTAAATCAGTGAAATTTAAACCCAGTGAAAATTAGTCATTTTACAGTAAGCTAATTTTTAGCTGTTCTATGACTGTTCCACTGATATCTAAAGAACCACTTCATTGGATTTTGATGAAAC